GGCTTACAACAGGGGCCGTTTAAGGGTCTTGAAAGTTAGAATGGGGTTTGGGGCATGTTGTACAGTAGTATACTTAGAAGCTATCAACCAAAAGAAGCCGTCCGGAAGAGTGTACTTGGAGGTTCATGGGTAGTTGTAAATGGGGTTATAAGTAGGGTAACTATCATTATAACTCCCATATTAGGGGACTTATAACCATACTTATCAACTACCCATGAACCTCCAAGTAGTATTCATTTCGGCCTCCTGAGTATTTCAGGTTAGCGCTCCTTGGGGTTTCGAGACTCTATAGACCGTAGCGGCTTTAAGGAATCTCGGGGTCTTAATCTTGGGCTTCAGGCGCTTGGGATTTAGAGATCCTCATGTTTTTGCCTAAACCCTAAACCCTAAACCCTAAACCCTAAACCAGCTTTAAAGGCTTTGGGTTTGTGGTTGCAGGGTTATGGGCTTCTGCTCTGAGCTTCGCGGATTGAGGGTTCAGGGTTTAGGGTTTAGGGTTTAGGGTTTAGGGTTTAGGGTTTGGGTGCAGGGATGTTTGTGCATCTGAGAAGGATTATAAAGGCCTGGATCATACGCAAACGCCTTGGGGACTCATCAAATGGCAACAAGCTCAGATCGTAATCTCTGCGCCACATAACACTGACGATATCGATGAAATAGGAATCTGTAATGTTGGGGCCTAAATAATTGCCTACACTATTTTGGGGGCTCCTTATTATAATTATAGTATAATAGGCCCCAAAACCCTATTCTAATTATGAAGGCCCCTATATTAAGTCTGCATCTTCTACTTTGCATGGCTACCGGCCCGTGCGCCCCAGCCCTCTCCTTTCATGTGCTCTAAATTGTCAATAGATGTAGTCATGTAGTCGTTAAGCCTAAATGCTACAAGCTTCAACCGTCAACCCTGAAATCTCAACCCTCAACCACTCCGCCCTTTGACACTAAACCCCTAAACGCCTCAACCCTACGCCCTACGCCCTAACCCCTCTCTCAATCCTGAAAATCTGGACCCGAAATGTCATGTCCTCAACCTGGAGGTGATGTGATGTGATGTGGCAGGTCGCTGCCGCCGCCCTCTCGTTTCCCCCAGCGGTTCGCAGGGCGAAGGAGGGAGTGGAGGGGGGGGTAAGGGAAGAGGGCCAAGGGGGAGGGTTGGAAGGAGAGGCATCGTTGCAGGGCCGTAGCAGTCTAGAGCTCTGCGTGCCGGATGTGCGCAGGCAAGCCTACCAGCACCGGCAACACTCCTGCATGTAGTTTTGCAGTCCGGGCGAAGCGCAGGCTGGTCTGCACCACGAGAGCGATATGCTGCATGGGCACCATGGTTCCAACGAAGAAGGCCTTTGAAATGACTGACACAAGATCGCCCAGTTCTGCAGCGCACCACAAGTTGCAAACCTTAATCGCGTGATCACGTGGTCTGTCATCACCTCCCAGACTCTTTTAAATTGGCATCTTACGTCAGGTCGTAAGCAAAAACGAACCGCACGCTGTTGGAGTCGGCATTTTGCGTGAATGCGTGCAGCCTCTTCTTGTTTGCTGCTGCCAGGTGTTGAGACCTCAAAGTCATAGGGTTTAGGGTTTAGGGTTTAGGGTTTAGGGTTTAGCGTTTAGGGCATGTTGCGACTGTGTGGTTAAAACTCTTTCTCACAAAACCCTATACGCGCGATATGAACCCAGTAAAGAATCCTTAAACAACCAACTTTCTCAAAACAAACGAACACACGTAAGATCTGAAGAACCTTACACTACACCAGGGCATTAATCACGCATAAACTTAACCCTGAACCCTAAACCCTAAACCCTGTCTGATAGATCAGCCTGAATTATCAGCAACAGTGCTATTGGGATTCCCCACGATTTCTGTACTGTTGCCAAAATACCTACTCAAATTCTGATTATTAAGGCCCCTAGACTTAAGAGCCTTATACTAAACTTAAACCCCTGCAGCAACCCTATGGAACCCCTAAAGGACCCAGAATAAGGCCCCCTATATTACATTCTTTGCTTTCGATCAGTCCGCCACGACCGTAAAATCTCGGATTTCTTCTCCTTGGAGGCCTCCAGGACCTTCGGGTTTAGGGCTTAGGGCTTAGGGCTTGGGGTTTAGGGTTTGGGGCTTCGGGCTTAGAGTTTATAGGGTTTGGGGCTTAGGGTTTAGGGTTTGTGGTTTGGGGTTTGGAGCTTAGGGTTTGGGGTTGAGGGTTTAGGGTTGGGTTTCGGGTTGGGGCATGTGCTGGGGCGTCCGGGCTTTCCCATTGAATCGCAGCGCCGGAGACTCTACGCTGGCGTGTGCATGGTCATCGGCGATGATGATGATGATGATGATGATGATGATGATGACGGCGATAACGATGGTGGTGATGATGGTACGAGTTTTGTTGTTATTACTATTACGCGGACAAGCCCGAATCCTAGACCCTACAAGCCCCGCAGCCCCGAAAGCTATAAACGAGACACCTCTAAACCCCGAAGCCAGCTCATGGAGCAACACTAATGTAGGAGCCCTAATAATTTTAGTAGGGTTTTGGGGTCCATGATACTGTAATTATAACAAGGAACCCCCAAAATAGTATAGGTACTTATTTAGGCCCCTATATTAGGGTTAAGGGTTTAGGGTTTAGGGTTTAGGGCCCCTATATTAGAGTTTCGAGTTTACGGCTTAGGGCCCCCAAACCTCCAATTCCCACGACCCCACGCCTGAACATTTAAGCACAGTAAACTTCAAGCCAAAGCTCCTGATAGGATCCAACATTTAGTTCTGGGTTTAGGGGTTTAGGGTTTAGGGTTTAGGGTTTAGGGTTTAGGGCTTACGGTTTAGGGTTTAGGGTTTAAATTAGGGTTTAGGTATTGTATATGATTATATCTTCTATGGGCCTCCCGGAGATGTCTTTGGGGTCCTATAGGAGCATCGGCCCTAAACCAAAAAAACAGAAAGCCCCGAGACCCTAAAGCCAGACACCCCGAAAAACCTTCCAACCCGAATCATACAGGGGCCCTGATGATTAGAATTAGAATAGGGCTTTGGGGTATCTCATACTCTACTTCTAATAGGGAGCCCCCAAAATAGTATAGCTAACTATTCAGGCCTTTATCTCACCGACCGCCGGAGCCTTCAACCCGAAACGGTACACAAATTGCCTCCCCCCAAAAAGCAAAGCGCATAGAGCCAGGCGGAACCCTTTCAAAAACTCAATGCCTTGCATCACAAACACCCCATAACCCTAAACCCGAAACCCGCCGCCCTGGGCCAGAAGATCCTCACCCAAAACACGAACCCTGAATCTAAACCCCACAGCTGAACCTCTGGACTCCGAACCCTCAAGATCCCAGACCCTTCGAGCTGGATTTCCCTAAACCCCTGACCCCAAAAACCCCAAGACCCCCAAACCCCTAA